GCTCTTGCTCAGGCTGGTCTCGAACTCCTGAGCTCAAACAATCCTTGCCCGCCTCGGCCTCCCAAAGTGCTAGGATTACAGGCGTGAGCCACCGCGCCCGGCCACAAACTTTTTTTTATAAATGATAAGATAGTAGAAATTTAGGTGTTGCCAGCCATACAGTCTCTGATCAGATACTCAACTTTGCCTTTGCAAAAGCAGTCATAGACAATACATAAATGAATAGACATGACTTTGTTCCAACAAAACTTTATTAACAAAAACAGATGGCCCAGAGGACTATAGTTTACCAACTTACGATCCAAATTACTCAAATTTAATATAAACTTAAACTAATAATAAAGTATTATGTTATTGTGGTAGAGGAAAAGGAAGTACTTTTTAGAGAGGAGGTTATTCTGAAGGTATTTAAGTAATGGGCCACAAAATAACTAATAGAACTCTATTCTAAAAGAAAAATTTTCTACATATTTTTAGTTAATTTTCTGTGATGTGCTTTCGCAATAATTTTGATGTGATAATTTTTATGTTAATTGTTTCCTTCATCTTTTCAATCTTCTGGCAGAATAACTTTCATATGAAAGTTATATACACTCTTAAGTTTTTAATACCTTCCTGCTAACATCTCCTTTCCTTCTGTTTGTCTTAACTTAATAGTTGTTGCTAGTCCATAGTTCTTTGCTATCAACTTAGTGTGTATGCATGGTAATCCATTTTCCAGTGGATAGATTGTAGTGAATTTTTTAAACTTTATGAAAAATTTGTAATAACGAGTATTGATCTTTGTTACAGAAATTTGTTAGCATATATGACTGATTGTTCTTTTGTTTCTGTTTTAAATTTCAGTCAGAGGCTAACTGCTCTGCCATGTTTGGAAAACTGATGACCATAGCAAGTGAGTATGTTCATTCGCTCAGTAAATATGGTAAACATCAAAACAAACAGTTTACCAAATGGGCCTATTGATTGAATGCTAAGTTAAAGAAAATAATCCTTACCTTAATTTTATTTCCAAGAACCAGTTAGGCTGATTGTCTTTTACTAGCTCAGCAATCTTTTTAAGACACTTATACTTTTAGTTTAGTAGTTTTTTTTCTTCTGTAATAGTGATTCTCTTTTAATTTTAAATAGAGAATTTGCCTGACCCTGGGAAAGCACAAGATTTTGTGAAGAAATTTAACCAGGTTCTGGGTGATGATGAGAAACTACGGTCTCAGTTGGAGTTATTAATCAGCCCAACATGTTCCTGCAAACAGGCAGACGTTTGTGTGGTTAGTAAATTATACTTTATGTGTAATCCTTGCTTTACTTACAGAAATGTATATTTCATTAAAGCCTGTTTTACATACAGTGTTTTGTATGAATTTAATAATATTGTGATCAGTGAATTACTTAGGAATATATCTGTGGTCGACTTAGTTCTCTTTACTTACCAGTCACTCTCCAGCCACATCCCAGGAAACACCTAGAGAATGAAGCCAGAGAGATTGGTTTTAGGAATTGAGCAAGGTAAAGTAGTTTGTTTTTAGTAGACATTTATTGAGTAAATGATGAGTATTTCTAAGTGCTCATGTGCATGCATTTTTTTCTCCTGTGTATTAGCATAGAAATAACCCTTGTCAGCAAATTAGCAATAGTAATGTTGCCATGTATGTGATTTCATTTATAGATAAGATAAATTCCTATTTAGACTTTTGTCCTCATTCCATTCCTAGACTCATTTTGTAGAATACCACTGTCACTGAAGATGTGAGGAAGGAAAACTTCATTAATTTATTCAGCATTTTATGAGATAGAGATTGAGTTTATGAGATAGGTTTGATTTTTAGCTATACCATTTATAACCAATGTGACCTTTAGTAAGTTATTCAATATTTTTTAACACTTTTCCTCATCTATAGATATTAACAATCTCATAGAATTGTAGAAAGATTTTTTTGTATATACAGTCATCCACCATATAACAACATTTTGGTCAATAACAGACTGTATATACAAAGGTGGTCCCATAAGATTATAATCGAGCTGAAAAATTCCTATCGCCTGGTGACATCTTGATGATCCTGAGCCTGTAGGCCTTGGCTAACGTGTGTGTGTCTCTCAAGTTTTTCTTTTTCCTATTAGTCCATGGAAATGCAAGTGTCTTAGTTTTTAACAAAAAAGTTTAAAAATGTAAATAGGGAAATGCTATTAGAATAAAAATATAAAGAAAATATTTTCGTACAGCTCTACGGCGTGTTTGTGTATTGAGCTGTGTTACTACAAAAGAATCAGAAACTTTAAAAGCTTTTTTAAAGTTTAGGAAGTAAAAATGTTATAGAAAGCTAAGACTATTATTGAAGAAAGAAGAAAATTTTACTATATTTTGTGTACCCTAAGTGTATAGTGTTTATAATGTGTACAGTAGCGTACAGGAATGTCCCAGGCCATCACATTCACTCGCCACTTACTGACTCACCCAGAGTAACTTCCAGTCCTGTAAGCTTTGTTCATGATAAGTGCCCTATATAGGTGTACCATTTTTTATCTTTCATACCGTGTTTTTACTATACCTTTTTTAAAATTTTTGTTTTTAGGAGACAGGGTCTCACTCTGTTGTCTAGGCTGGAGTGCAGTGGTACAATCACAGCTCACTGCAACCTCAAACTCCTGGGCTCAAGCACTTCTCCTGCCTCAGCCTCCTGAGTAGCTGGAGCTACAGTTGCTTGAGGCCACACCCAGCTAATTTTTCTATTTTTTTGTACAAACGGGATCTCAAACTCCTGGTCTCAGGCAGTCCTCTTACCTTGACCTCCCATACTGCTGGGATTACAGGTGTGAGCCACTGCAACCCACCAAACTGTGCCTTTTCTGTGTTTAGATAATGTGTGGAAACATAAATACTTACATTGTGTTACAGTTGTCTACAGTATTCAGTAAAGTAACATAATATAGAAGTTTATAGCCTAGGAGCAATAGGCTATATTATACAACCTAGGTGTATTGTAGACTGTACCATCTAGGTTTGCAGAACCATGCTCTGTGATGTTTTCACAGCAACAAAATCGCCTAACGATACATTTCTCAGAATGTATCCCTGTCGTTAAATTGACACATAACCGTGCGTATGTATATGTGTGTGTATATATTTTCTCGTGTAGATAGCTGTACTGCCCTATTGGTTTTAAATAAGTGGTAGTTCTTAGGATATTACACATACATGGCAAGTACTGTGCTCGGGACCAGGCTTACAGAGATGAATAAGAGAAAGATAATTATTTTAGTGTGTTTTGTTTGTTTGTTTTAAAGATAGGGTCTCACTTTGTCACCCATGCTTGAATGCAGAGGTGTGATCATAGCTCACTGTAACCTTGACTTCCTGGGCTCAAACAATCCTCCCACCTTGTAGGACTACAGGCATGTGCCACCATGCCTAGCTAATTATTTTTTTATTTTTTGCAGAGACAAGATCTGGCCACATTGCCCAGGCTGGTCTTGAACTACTAGCCTCAAGCAATCCTCTCACCTCAGCCTCCCAAAGTGCTGGGATTACGGGCATGAGCCACTGCACCTGGCCTATTTTAGTTATTTATGTCTCACTTTGTTCTAGAAAGAATTAGAGTTGATAATTTTTAAATATTTGATAAGGAATAAGGACTATAATAGATGTATATACAAAGTGGTCTGGGGGTGTGGAACAGGGATCTTTTATTCAGTCTAGTGACCTAAAAAGAGCAGTTATTAGGAGGATATGGGCAGGGGAATTAATTTAGGGACGAGAGTAATGGGCTCATCTGTTGAGAGTAGGAATATGTATGTACCAAGTGCCCAGAGTACCTCAACCTTTGCACTTCTGAAGTAAGTGATTTGCTGAAAACACTTAAAGGTTTCATTTACTTCTTTGGCATTTAGAATTCTAGTTCCAGAGTGCTGTGTCCTGCAGAGAATCTACTAATACAATTAGATCATACAATGAAATGGCTATAAAATACCTTAGATCATCATTTGTTTTTTTTGTTTTTTTTTTTTTTTTTT